ATATATATATATATATATATATATATATATATATATATATATATATAAAATACAATGTCACCAAAAATGAAAGTAACATTATATAAAGTCAACCATTTTAAACAGTTACAGTAAGATGGAAAAACTTAAACTTTGGTTTGAACTCTTCTTCTGATTAAATTCTTCTTCTTTCAACTGTTCCCTTCTTCATAGATCACCACAGAGAACTGTCTCACACGAAGACCTGACAATTGTTTTTACGCCGGATGCCCTGACGCAACCACAGACCACCGAGCTACCACAGCCCTCTGTGTGGAGCAGAGAGCTGCCATCTAGGTCGCCTGGGGGAGCAGATGGTGGGGGTTAAGGGCCTTGCTCAAGGGCCCAGAGTGGGGCAAATGAGGGTGGAGGCAGGTGTAGGTGCGTCACCTTTCCTACCCACATTTTGATGTTGACGGCACGGGGAGTTGAACTGGCAACCTTCCAATCACAGGTCCACCTTCTCTAACCACTGCACCACCACTCCCCCTAAATTATTTTCACAGTTATCAGACAAAATTATGCTCTTTGAGACAAAGCATTGAAACTATTATGATAATAATTATAATTGCTTTGGAGTGATCAACATACAGACCATTAGGAAATGAAAATTTAATAAAAAGTCTGAATTGTGAAAAACATTTGGCTGTAAATAAAGATTTAAATTCTGAAAGGGAACCAACAAAAACATAATAATTATCTTTTAAGATGTTTTAGCTTATATAGTTTTACCTGTGCAGGTTTTCCTGTATTTAGGTTGATTTATTTTAGACAGCAGAGCTTTACCTACATTTATGACAACTACACAGTACAGATATTTCAAAATTAATGGGAATTTATTTTAGGCAATGCAGATTTTTCTACATTTATGGTAACTAATTTTACGCAGTGTAGCTTTTACACAGTGCACAGTAATTTATTTTGGGAAGTGCCGTTTTGTCCACATTTACGGTAATTTGTTGTGACATAACTTTTCAAGCATTTACTGTATTGCTACGTTTGGCCTGTGGTTTCTCTGCAGCGAGTAGCTGCCAGCTGATGAAGAGGTACAGGAAAAGACCAAATGAGTGTAAAAAAAAAACTATTGACTATTACTAAAAGAAATGTTTAACTGTATTCTGAAATTTTTATTAAGGACAAAAATTTGGAGGAATATGATCCAGCTAAAGAATTCATACTTGTTTTTTTTATTTAATTAATATTAATTTTCAAGGCCGTCATGTTGTGTTGATGGTAGCGCTGTCACTAACAAGAAGGTTGCTGCATCATATCCCAGCCAGGCACCTTTTGATGTAAAGTTTGCATGTTCTCTCCGTGCATGCTTAGGTTTTCTCCGGTTACTCCGGTTTTCCTTTCACAGACCAAAACCATACATGTTAGGCTAAGTGGTAACCAATTATTATATGTAATAATTTGTATTTTAATAACCTTTATTTAACCATGCAAATCCTATTATCACATATGATTTTGCAAGGGAAGCCGGGACCTGAAAACAGCCAAACATGCATGTTATTAGACTGTGGGAGGAGACCAGACATGTGACTTGAGACTTGTCCAGTATGTATCCTGCCTTTCACACACTAATTGTTAGAATAAAGACATCTACTTCTGCACAAACTGGAAAGGAGATAGAGTTAAAGTAAATAGATGGACAAACTGATGCCACTTGGGATAGTAAAGTTAAAAGTTATGTCAGCATCACCATAAAGATGTAGGTACCTTGCAACAACGTCTCAACATCTTTCATGCAACAGACAGGTGAAAACCCTGCAGAATTCAATTTAGTACATTAGTGCAACTTTTAACATGCAATGTTCAATAATGTGTAATAATTTGAAAATTATGTAATAATGTTTTTGTAACATGACTCAGGTCGTCTACATTTTGTGCCGCCACATCTACAAGTCACACACCTAACTAAATATTTTTTACGATATACTTATGGTCATTTGATGTGACTGAACTTACGGCAGTTAGTTGTTAACTGCATGTGTTATGTAAAGCATTTTACTTACATTTTATGTATAAATTGTGCTTTAAAAATTACATTTTTTTAGTATGCTCATTGCTACTTTAATGTGGGGAATTGTGACAGTGTTATACCGTAATTTCCAGACTATTGAGTGCGCCTGAATATAAGCCACGCCCACTAAATTTAAAAATAAAAAATATTTGTACATATATAGGCCACACTTGTGTATAAGCTGCTGGTGTACACATTGTAACAGGAGCTATTTACACAGAAATATTTTTTAAACTTTTAATTATATACGTACCGGTAACATACACAAATACGTACAGTCATTTTTTTTTTTCTGAACAGTGTCTGTAACACAGTTGGTTAAAAACAAAATAATAAATACGATAAATACAGTAGCCTACCAGGAAAAGTCATTGATCGCTATCGTCATTCCTCCTGTGCACTAAAACCACTAAAGTCGTATTCTTCAGTGTCAGGATTGAACAGCCGCAGAAAAACTTCATCCCACACGTCCTCAGTCTCTCTGTCGTCGTTGCTCTCAACGTCACTTTATTCTTGAGGCAAATGCGTGATTTATGATTCAAACTGATTTCGAGTGGCCACAAATACTTTGTTGTTTACGAGGAGGGAAACTCCCACAGGGTAGGACCAATGAAATCACGTTTTATTGGTCCACTGAGATCTGTTCATTAATTAATTTCATTGGTGAGATTTTTTTAACCTTTATGTATACAGATAGTCTCCTTGAGTCACGAGGATCCACTCCCCAAGAAAGAGGAGTATTGGGCGGCTATGCGAGTGCTCGGGTTTGACGAGGCTAAACGTTTTGGTGGCACGAAACTTGTTAACCCGTGAAAAAACCGAATCCATAAATTAGCTGCAGCGTTGTATAAGCCGCGGGGTTCAAAGCATGCGAAAAAAGTAGCGGCTTATAGTCAGAAAATTACGGTAGTTGGTCATTTCAAAATATGGCACACTACATGTAATTATATTGTGAAATTGCCATGTGAAAATACAGGTAAGTTTAATTTTCAAATTTTATTTATGTTCGTATATTTAATTTGGCATTATTAATGACATATAATAGTTTTAAATAAATCACACACAAGGCCTTGAATTAAAACAGTGAACATTTATATCATAATTTACACTTCTTTGACATTTTTGCACATAAATAACTTTGGAAACCAGAATGTAAACAAAGTTCTTACAGGATTCTCCTCTGGAGTTAAAGCTTTGACCAGAGAAAACATGCTTTGGTCATCAGAAACACAACGAAACAGACAAATGGAGTTAGAACTTCAACGTTCATGTGGTTGATGCACAACTGCTACAGAAAGTCACAGTTGTTTTAGTAAAATGAAGTTGGGTCTTAATGCAGTTTTGAGCAGTTCTGTTGACGTCACACACAGTGTAAATGTTACGAGCTTCGGCCTTGAAGACATAAAGTCAGAGGAAGGGACCAGTGCATAAAAGAGGGCCGAGGTGCTTGGGTATTCTTGACAAGGCAGCAGATGAAGGGGGCAAACAAAAATATTAACAAATAAAAACAACAAAATCTAAAGAATATATACAAAACTATGTGACAGAGCTAAAGAGCAAACACTTCATCATATACAAAAAGTTCACCTTCTTCAGCATTTTGATTCTTTAAGTCCTTCTTCCCTTGTTAAGATTGAGTCCTTTTGGTGTGCATTTGAAATAAAAGCCAAGTGAACTTTGGTTTTTAGCATATATAGTGTAAATTTCCAAATCTATTCACAAAATAAAGAAAAACAGGAGAAGGGGTACGGGGAAAACGCAGCTAACCAGCCTCCTGAGTCCGTTTTGTGCTACATGTTAAACAGGCTGCGCCGCTCGTTTGGACCGCGTGAAGAGCTGCTCTCCAGTTCAGTTTGGTTTTTTTCTTCAAGTAGAAAAGAAAAAAAAAAAATCTAATAAATAAAAACAAACGTTTACCCTAAGCTATTCCTTTAAACACACACACACACACACACACAAACATCACATACACACTGAGGTAACTGTTGTGAAAATTTTACAAAAAGAAAATGCCCTTTTTGTTCCATTTAAATTAAGGAAGCATCAGAAAAGGACACAAACTTCAGGTAAACTATTAAGGAGGGTTGAAGTAAAGCTCCTGTCTCCTAATGAACAAAAATATGTGCCATAATTTGGCAATTAAATTTTTTTTTTTTTTTTTTTTTTTACCATTTCATCCTGCCACTTTGGTTTCAATATTTAAAAAGATAAAACCCTGAAAAATGGACACCCCTGTTTCTGCTGGTCAGAGGCAACAGGACAAATAATGGGCATAAGAAAAGAACCACTATTTACAGAGAAATGGCCACAGGAAGAAGAAATAGAAAAATCAAAACTTATGTTCACATCCCATCAGTCCAACCATCCATTTCACTTATTGCTTTTTAAGACACAAAACAAAAAGTATAATAAATTAGATTACACAACAGCAATTTATCAAAAACAAAATAGATTTGAAGACACAAAGATCATACTATAATAATAATGGTAATAGAATTATATTAATTACATTAAAAGTTAATCCTCGTTTGGTGATTGTCTAAAAATGATAAATGCTGAAATCACTGAGTAGTCATGGGACAGTGTCTCTCGCAGCCCTGAGTATGTGAGTCCCTGATAGGTTGAAAACAGAGTGATGTCACTTCTTTTTACAACCAGGTATTTATGTACAGCTATTGCTCCTGGCAACAAGTCCATCATACAGTCTGAAATCTGTCTCTTGTACATAAAAGGCCATTTAGGCGATATCCTCTGACTCCTTCTTGACAGTAATGTTAGCAGCAAGTGGTGGGATGGGGCTGCTGTGCCGCATTTTGATTACCGACGTCTCGTTTGGGGACTCATAAGCACCATAACTTGCTGACAGCAGCTCTGTGGCGCTTCCGTTATGGTAGGAGTGGAAGTGGGGGGACTTGAGGTCAGTCTCCCTCCATACCATCCCCAAGACCTGCTTCTCTAACATGGCGTCCATCTCAACCCCTCCCTGCAGCTGCTCCAGTTGCTCTGCATGCTCACTTATGTCAAAGCGCTCGATCTCCTCGTTGGCGCGGTGGATCTCCTCCAATGAAGCCTGGCTGGAAACGTTTGGACTGTCGGAGCCAGAGTTCGCCGCCAAACAGTAACCCTTCAGGTGAAGTCGCAGGCTGCATAAGTGGATGTAGTGGTGATGGCAATTGGGACATTTGTGTGGTCGCTCACGGGAATGAAGGCGCTTGTGCAGCTTGAGGTGGACAAATTGCGTAAACTTAGCTGGGCAGAGTTTGCAGTGGTACGGCTTCTCCCCTGAGTGGAGGCGCAGGTGGGTTTTCAGGTTGCTGGTGCTGCTGAAGCGCTTGTGACATACCTGAAAGAAGAAATGAGTTAATTTAAAAACTGTCAGTAGCTTGTAGTAGCAACCAGTGAGCTAATTATTATAGTTTGATCATTAACTGTCCAAGAACTCAGCATGTTTTCAACAATATTTCCTACCTGACATTCATGCGGCTTCTCTCCAGTGTGGACCAGGTAGTGTTTTTGCAAGTGAGCAAGCTGAGTGAAACCTTTGTTACAGGTCTGACATTTGAAGGGTCTCTCGCCGCTGTGCACACGAAGATGAACCTGTGTCGAGGACAAAAAAACAACAAAAAACTTAGCTTTTCTGATAATCATCTTGAGGTTGTTTATATGTAGAAACATCTGGTGGCACTCCTTGCTCATTTAAGTTACATAAATGTGATTTGCTGCGTAATGATTACACGGCAATCTTTACAGCACTCAGGAATTTTAATAAGGTAATGAATCAGAGATCATGTCAAAAGATAACCAAAAAAAAAAAACAACAACTCCCAATCTCACCTTCAGATTTGACAGCTGCCCAAAGGTCTTACTGCACACGTTGCACTCATACTTGATTTTGCCATTTTGCTTTTTCAGAGGATAAGGCAGTGCCTTGTAGCCTGCTGAGCCTGCGCCACGCTTCACTTTGGTCAGGTTTATAGCCTCTTCATCAGAATGATGTTCGCTAGAATTGCCCAGGAGGGCAGAGGTAGGCTTAGTGGGCATCTGCTCGCTGGGAGGTGCTGTGCCAGCAGTCGGTGAGCCACTGGAAGGAGCATGGGCTGGTCCATGCAGGTTAGGGTGCATGGTATAGGAGTTGTGAGGCCCTGCCTTGTCTTTCAAGGTAGTAGCGGCAGAAAAGGCACTGGTGGGCCCAGGAAGTAGGAAGTCTCTGTGGCCAGAGATAGAGGAGGGGTGCACAGGTTCAGGCATAAGGAAGCGCCTCCCTGCTGGGTCAGAAGGCAGAAGGGGCACATGAGGGGGTAAGAGGTTGCTGTAGACAGGGTATATCCTGGGAAAGATTCCTCCTATGGCAGGGACGCCGCCAGGTAGAGGATAGTGATGGGGAAGAAGGTAACGAGAGTAGGGGGCTCCCGAAGTGTAGAATGGTGACGAGAGTGTGGCAGATGGAGGGGAGTAACCAGTGTAGGAACTCAGTCCTGTGGGATAGAAAGAAGCAGGTGATGGTGCTGGTCCAGAAGGGCTACCTTGAGGACTGCTGTCTGGGCTGCTTCTTGCAGATGGACTTGGGGTGGCTGAAGACTGTTTGCCAGGGGAATGAGTTAAGGGGTAAACAATCTGACCAGACTTGTGGCTAAGGAAGTCTTCTGAGATGTGAAGATGTGGTCTGAGATGTGGATAGATGGCCCGGGGGTACAGGGGGCGATCTGGGCTGTCAGCACAGCGAGGGCGGGTAGGGAGGGGACGGCTGGGCTCCCTCTTGGTGGTAGATGAGGAAGAGGTGCTGTTGGTGCCACGCAGAATGGAAAGGACACTGTGCTCTCTCTTGGGAGGGCTGGGCGTTAATGCGACGGGAGATGGGCTGAACACTTCAATTCTGCTCCCCCGTCTGTCCACCTGCTGCTGCTTCACCTCTAATAGCGACTGCTCTGCAGAGACAAACAAGAAGAAAATAGGTCAGCATATTCATAACATAATTGTAAAAAAGCATAAAGGCTTCCAAAAATGCCATATGGTTTGCATAGAAACCAAAGAAGTCCACTTTTTGCTTTTGACATAGCGGAACCATCAGCTCTAACATTCTCTTAATCCTGATGTGTGTTTGAACATCTTGGTGTTAGGGAACACCATAAGTAACTCAGTGGGGTAATTAGTTTGACAGAATTGATGAATGAGGGTAAGGGGCAAGAAAAGGAGCAAAACACAGGAAGCGAGGCGTGACATCTGCCTTTAGGCATTGTGTGTTGTGCATGCGATGTGTGGGTGTCTATAAAATCAAGATAAAATCAGAATGGTGGCAGACAGACAGACAGGGCTGATGGAGGGTTTCCTGCTGAAGATATCTTCAGAAAAAGCTTGGCCTCCACTTGCCCTTCCCAAACGCACACAAACACACCCACACCATGTGGCAAGGTACACACACAAAGGCGCCTTCAGATAAAGACCTCTGTCTGATTTGTTGACTCTTCCTCTTCTGGACAACTTGCACACACTTCTGATCATGCTCTTACTCTCCAGCTTTTTCTGCTCATTTGCTATTGTTTCCAGGTCGAAGGGTAAATTAGAGAGCTTCCTCCCTAGTCACTCACACCTACTGTCTTCTCTCCATGATGAAAGAGTGGATTAGGGGTAACGTTCACACACATTTTAAAAGCCCCAGGATGTCAGTTAGCTGCACATCTCGGCTGGTTAATTGCCACAGAAGAGCTTCAAAAATGCAGCCGTCTATTATCTATAAGCTCTTTTACTGCCCAGTCAACTCTTTATACTATAAGGTCGCCCAGAGGGGAGTGTGCATGTGGGAGAGAGTATAAGAAAGTGGGTGTGAGTGATGCCAGCACTGGTGAAATTTGCTCCAAACCTCTCACATACCGTACACACATAACGCAAGTGACCCTTTTCGTCAGTAGAATAACGACAGTGTGTAAACACCGAGGTTATCATTTAGCCCTCCTCCTCCTCCCCCCCCCCACCATCCCTCTTCCAAAAAACAAACATGGCAGCCATCTTGAAGATATCAATCTGTCAACACGGCCCTTCTGCCAGGAAGTTCAAGTAGTCAACCGAGTGGGTAGGAGGTGCAGCTCTGCCTCCCCCAAGCCTTCCCTCCACCTTCTTTCTGGTCTTTTTAAGTGGCATATATATGAGGGTTATTGCCAAACACCGACACACACACACACACAAGCACTGCATGTGTTTGAGATAAAAAGGAGAGTGCAAATGCGTTGGCATGTCACTCTTAAATTAGCATTAAGTGTGGGTAGAGAGAGTGTTTTAGTCTGTAGACCAGGCTATCTTTGAACTCACTCACATGGATGACAGGTGCTTCGAGTGCTAAAACCTAACAAAAGGCAAGGTAAAAAGTGAAAGAGTGTGAAAAAAGGAAAGGAGAAAGTGAGGGAGGGAGACAGAGGTTCATGCTCAGTCATTTTGTTCACATGCGTATGCACAAAAGTCTGCTCTTGTAATGACTGTGCTGGAATAAGCCCATGCAAAGAGGAAAAAAAAAAAAAAAAAAACAATACTGGCAACAGTTGTCTGCACCTTCTTAGGAATTAGGAGATCACCTGGTTGGGTTCAGAAACTTTGATGCCCCCTTTAGGACACCAGGTGGAATTTTACCAGATGATCACAATGATTGTTTTTTAATTGAAGGAGAAGTTTGTGATGAACCAAATTAACCAAAAATCAATGCAAGCTAAAAAAAAAAAAAAGATTGTCTCACTGATTTGAAAGTTAAGCAGGTCTGCAGGTTAAAAAAAAAAAATCTTATGAATTATGTAGATATCTGTATTTGTCATATGTGTGCAGGTCGTTCCAAATTGCAGTTATTCATAGCAGAAACTTCTTGATGCCACAATCTGACAATGAAATATACAGTCTAGCTCAGGGGTCTGCAACCTGCGGCTCTGGAGCCACATGTGGCTCTTTGGTCCCTCCACAGCGGCTCTTTCAAGCTTTGACAAAAACCAACACAAAACTGAATTCTATGTTTAAAAAAATCACTAGTCTTAGCAGTTTTCTTGTCATTTCCATTGCATATATGTGGATACTAGTACTAATACACATGAGTAAATTATACGCTAACGTTATGCTTTATTTCTTCAAAGTAAGATGATAATACTCAATACAACAATTTCCTGCAGGATCAATAAAATTCTATCTTATCTTATCAATGACTCCACAATTTGAAAAAAAAAAATGCATAAGGCTGCACAGTTTGTTTTTTTATTTAAAAAAAAATTTAGCATTTTTTTTCTTTACAAGAATCCAGTCGTCTGTGATAGACTTGCGAATTGGACATGGGGCACCAGTGACCCCCTGCAACTCAAAAAGGAAGAAGCGGGTAAAGCCGATGGATAAATAGATGAATGGATGGATGGATGGATGGATGGAATCCAGTCTTTTCTTTTGTCTTAAAATGTAAAAATATCAATTAATGTTAAAAATCATTGGATGTTTTTAGTTTTATAATTTCACACCTACTGGCCAGAAAAGCCCCCTCTAACAAACGTTAAGTGGCCCATGGGCCACCAGTTGATAATGACAATTGTAGCAGGTTTTGTGGCTCTGGACACGTTCGATTTAGCGAACGAAAGGGCAGAAATGGCTCGTTTGATCGTAAAGGTTGCAGACCCCTGGCCTAGCTGCTCAGCGTGAATGATTTTGTTGCATGTAATTCAGCGCGCAACATTAGAGGGATTCATCACGGAAGCATCCTCTCCTTTTGCCTTTTGCCCACGGAGTTTCAGTCTAACGTTACGTCAAAACAACTGTGGGTTTTCTTGGTTTCACTCAGCAAATGCCATTATTTTGGGCTTCATTAGCACTGCGAACCTCTTGACAGCCACCGAAACAGTCAATCCTTACAGTCATTTTAAGATTGTAAATTCATAACAGGGAGATGCCAAGACTTGAAGCAAGTCTGTTTTAAAGTCAGTGGCAGGCTAGAAGAAACCAGCCGGGCTTACATGACAGATGAGGCTAATTAAAGACGACTCATAGGTTGTGCACAGTGTGCTGAGAAGGGGCCATCAGGGGGTCCTTTCTACCATTGTCCCCCAGGTCATGCGCATTAGTCCCTGGGTAGTGGAGTCACTGTGGCTGGGTGTCGTGGTTCCTCTGCCACCTATTAGCCTGCAGTCACACCTGGAAACCTCTCAGCTCCCACTCGCTCTTTGTTTTCCTCTTAGTTTGCGCTCTTTGATCAGCCTAACCGGAGTAGAACAGTGCAGTCTGCTGTCATGAATTTGTTTGCAGAGTGAGCTTTATGTGACTTTTACAACTGATTTTTAAAAGTTGGACTGAGCTGCTTTATTTAGAAACACAATATTTATGTACGAAGTGTAAAACTGTGAATCAAAGGAAAACTTTGGGATGACTCAACGATGTTAACGAAGAGACCGAGTCGAGCAAACACGCTCTGTCTCTGCTGCTTTTATTGAGGTTAAGCAAGGTTGTGTGAGCTTTTATGTGAAAAGTGGGTCTTTAAGTGTCTAAGACTGTGGCATTAGGGGCCATATACCCCTGTGTGTAATTACACTGTCACTGGCACACACACAAAAACACAACGATGGCACTGACAGAGATGAAAGGTTGTACTCTTGTAAGTGTGTGTGTCTGTGTGTGAAATAATGACAGGCTAACAGTGAGAGAGGAAGGAGACATAGCGACACTCTAAAACACTGTTAGGCTTTAAGAGCGGCGACAGGACACACTCAAGACACATGCACACATGTTGATTTAGTTTTTTTTTATGAAAGATGGTCACTACTTTGGGCTTTTATCAAAGTCTACAGCCATTTTTTCTGAATACGTGTCAGCAGTGATGCTCCTTAGCTTATCCGTCTCATTATTCATCAATAAATAAAGAAAATAAACTTGAACTTACTAAGTTTCTGCATCATCAGCTCTCCTGACGGCGGGTACTGCAGGCGTCGGGCGAAGTCGTGACAGTACCAGACGAGCAGCTCGGCGCCAGCAGGTACGGGCTTCACAGTGTAGAAATAAATCTCCATGCCGTTCTGACACGCGGCCAGGTTCTGCTCGGCGGCGGAGTGGGCCGGGTTCACGTACCGCATCCAGTTCGAGCGCGTCTCATCCAGACCATCGACAAAGTGATGAAACTCGCCATCCGCATAGATCTGGAATTAAAAAAAAAAGATGTTAGTTTTTTACTTTAAATGCACTGAAAATAAAATGTTTATTGTTCTATCTATTGTAAGAATTTGTAAAATGAATATGTAAGAAAAATTAGATAAATGCCACAAAAAAGATTTTTTCAACATCTAAGCTATTTTTTTCTTGAAAATTTAAATCAGAACTATAAAAAACAAGCATGAAACGTTTGTAACCAACCACGTTATTGTTTAAAAAAAAAAACAGTAAAGTAGTCCCTTGTTTATCGCAGGGGATCCATACCCGGAAGCGATAAGAGAAAAACCGCGAAGTAGGAATAGTAGTACAAGTAGTAAGTAGTTTATTTTAGTATTTATATATTAAGGCATTTTAAACCCTTCCCACACTCGTGCAATATTCTAAACAATGTTTCTAAACGCTCTAAAAGAGCACATAATGTCATGATTTCAGCTCCCTGCCTCCTCTGCTCTTTGCCACCTGCAAGCGTTCTTGGCCACACCCACTTCTTTGCTCTGCACGGAGAACAGCTGATCAGCTGCAGCAGGAAGTTTATCCTGCAGTATGGGTGGTACAGAGGTGCTAAATAATTTTAAATCAGCCATCAATCAGCCAATTGTGTGTCATGTCCAGTCTTATTTTGAAAAACCGCGATGGAGCGAGTCCACGATAAACAAACTGCGAAGAAAAACGTAAAAAGTTAAACGTTTAGTTAACGTTTTTCTTAGTTCATATCTTAGATCTTATTGCTGTTTTTCTTTTACATTTTATACTTTTGCTGGATGTAACTGGGACACTGTGTACACAATTTCGTTCCACCGCATGCACCACATGTGGTGCGAATGGCAAATAAAGAACCTTGAATCTTGGAAAGTAGCGAGGGACTACTGCATTAGAGCAACAAAGCTTTTGAAGAAGTTACAAAATTTGCCAAAGAGCATCTAAAACAATTTGATGTAAGTTAAATAATTAAGAAATACATTCAGTAGTCTAAGCCATGAGTAAAAAAAAAAAACTAAAATTCTGTTGTAATACTACAACAAATGAAGAGAATCACAGAGAACTTGCACTGAGCAGATTCTAGGTTTGACTAATTTAACAACGTGTTTAACTGTTTCTTTTTTAATCTTTTACCACGTCTATGTCTTCATCACCTTTAGCGAGACACCAAAGTAAGACAGAAAGTCTGAAACGGAGATCCGCTTTTAAAATGAGAAGGGAACTCATTTTCTACCACTCCTCTCCCACATAGACCTCTTTTTTAAATTCTTCCTCAGTATTTACCTCTCGTTTCTCTTGCATCGCCGTGTGCTGGTGAGAAAGTGAGATATGAGCATGAATGGAACACCTTGGTGACTTTAGTTTCTGCCTGCGGTTACACTTTTTCTTTTTAGTCGAGTCAAACCCACCACACACTCAGCGCGTGGGCGGCAGTCAGGTAGGAGGTTTGTGAGCGTGTATTGTCTCACTGCCAGTTACCGGTAGTGATGAAGCATGTTTTAACTGTGTGCAAGTGTGACTTGACTTACAGGAACCGTGACGTGAAATGTTATTTGTGCGAAGGTGACATCACATCCCCGTTTTTTTCTTTCCCTCCTCGTACACGCAGAAAAAAATAAACAACAAGCCGGGTTTCCTGTTCAACTGACTGACTTTAGACGTCACAGGAAGGGGTCCCTCCGGCTTCGGAGGAAATGCATGTGTGTTTTGAAAGTGTGTACTCACCCTCCAGAAGTACTTGCGGTTGGCGTCTTTGGGTACGCTGTCCGCTGTGTAAATCTCGCCCACCAAGGGACCGAAGCGAGTTCCTTTAGGGATGTACTCCCTGCTGCACACGCCGACCACCTATGAAGACGTGCAAAAACACAGGTTAAAAAAAAAAAAAAAACACCATTACGCATCAACACCCAGAGTCGAAGATGAACGAACGCACTTCACGTCATCTCCGCCGTGCGTTTCACCGACCGGAGAATAACGGTAAAAAGCTTTTTCTCTTTCAAATCTCTTTCCCGCGTCACCTCCAGTGGTCGCCACATCAAAACAAAAACCGCTGCCACTTCAGACGCTTCAGGGGAAAACGTTGAGACGATCAAACGAAATAAAGAATCGTCTTGGTTTTTTTTTTCCATTTTGCTTCTTCGCGGCGTAATTCACAATCAAAGAACACGAGGAGGAGAAAAGAGAAGGATTATGTGGTGACTAGACATTAAGCTACACCCATAGCTCACATTTTCTTCATGCTAAACCCACGCAAACAAGTCTTTCCCAAACCCCCTTGTTCCCTGGTGATGTGGGAAATCCCCCTCTTCCCCCCTCCGCAGGACCAGACTTGAGGGTGCATCAGTGCATGTGCACAAACCCTTTTCCTGACAAGCTTTTTGCAAAGCGCTCTGTCCCCTCTTTGGACCAAAAATTGGTTTTCTTTGATCGGCTTTTCCCTTCTTCCTCTCCGGATCACAATTAACATGAGCAGATAAGCAAAACACACTCCTCTTCTTCTTCCTCACTTCAGTTCCTCATTGGATAAGCCACTGATGAGAAAATCTATGCGATGGTGCCGATTTACCGACAAATTCACAGTATCTATCGACAAAGCTGCAACCTTTTGACCTGCGATCAGGCACTTTTTTTTTTAAACTATTAGGAAAAACACAGCGTGCATTAGCAGCATGACAGCTCAGTGGTTTGCACTGTTGCCTCACAGCAAGAAGGTCCTGGGTTCAATCCCCGGTTGGACCTGGTGTGTTTCTGTGTGGAGTTTGCATGTTCCTCTTGTGGGTTTTTTCCGGGCACTCCGGTTTCCTCAACATGCATGTTAGGCTGCCTTCAGGTTCAGGCCTCCCTTGTAAAAGAGATCTGTGATCTCAATGGGATTTGCCTGGTTAAATAATTAAAGGTTAATAAATTAAGAGCACATACTGAAAAATGTAAACTATGTGGTCTTAAATGAATTGGACAAAAATGAAAGTCATTTTTTTTGCACTTTTGGCTATCTGATGGAAGAAAATATGGACAAATGAGCCTCGTGATCTGCTTGCCTCCAAAAGCAAAAGTACAGTAAAATGTTGAGCGTTCAGGCAGCACCTTTTGTTTTCTGTCCCTCTGTGTCCCAACCTCACTTTCAACCTTTGCTTGTTTGACATTTTGACGTTTTCACATCCAGATTGGTCAATGACACAAAATGTTATCATGTTACATTTGGTAAAAAAAAAAAAAAAAAGGTCACGGCTGACTGTGAGGTGAGAGGGAGGTTGACGGAGGAGCTATAAAACTTAATAAAAAAAAGAATTAACCTTTATTTATACAGGTAGTCTCGTTAAGTCACGACAATTTGTGTTTTGATATTTACTCCCCTTTTCAAAAAGGAGGAACGCAGTATGCTGTAACTTGTCAATATGTCTGATATGTTGCCATTAATTTACAAATAAGTAGACTTTGGCGATGCAGGACTGCGCCCCCTGCCTGTAGAGGTTGGGATTTCAGGCTGGAGGGGATTCCATGAAACATGAGACAGGTCTGAGCCCCTTCCCCATTTTCTCAGGTGATAAATGAGTTCTCATGATTGGATTCAAGCGGATGAAACTGTTTGTAAAAAGTGCGTTTGTGTGGAAATCTAGCTTTAGGCTCTTTATGGCCCACACGCGCACACATTCCTCGTTTCTCTTTGTGTACGTGAAAATTTACAAGACACAACCACCCCCCTCCGGCTGTTTATCATTGCATGAGCCACATCTGACTCATTCCCTCACATACAGACAGCTTTCTCTGCCTGCATGTTTTGTGAAAACCTGCGACTGGAGGGAAAGTGTTCCCGTCTGAGTGTTTGTGTTCCTCTGACCTCCTTGCTGCCTGCCAGGTGTTTGAAGACCAGGTTCCGGGGCAGCGACGCCTCTGCTCGTGTCGTCGTCATCGTGGCGTCACTGTCTGGCCCCGCCTCCAACGCCGTGTCTTTGACAATGTATATGCGCTTTTCCTCAAACTCCTTCTCTGTCCATTGCGTCATGTCTGCCTCGTCCATGTCCATGTCGACGTCGGTGTCAGTCATCGTCTCGCCTCCATCTGAACTTGTGGAGGCCATCTTGGCGCTGTGGTCATCCTGGTCCATGGTGTGCGCCCCCTCACTGGTCAACATGGCCGAGCTATGAGAGGTCGCCTGGGGAAAGAGGGGACAGGAAGAAGTGAGCCTTTTACTCTTCTGATCTTTTCTTTGAATATTTATTTATATGAACATATTTCTGGCTTTGCAGAGAGCGCAACATCACTGTTGAGGATTGGGGGGGGGGGGGGGGGGGTAAAGAAGAAAGAAAGAGTTGAAAGGGAAAAGGCAAGATGGGAGTGCATGCTGCTGTACTTAAAATCAAAAGAGATGGTATAAAAAAAGAGAAATGTAAAAACAGGAAATTGAAGACGGAACAATGATAGGGTTGATCAAAAAGTACAAAACAGATGATAAAGAAAGCAAAGGCAGAGAGAGAAAACAGAGAAGAGGAAGAAAAAAGATAGGATTGAAAGGATTGGGCGGGGGGAAGATAAGAAATAAAAAGAGGAAAGATTAGGATGAAAGAAGATAAAACGCAGTGATGAGGAGGACAAAGCGAAGAGGAAGATCAGTGATTATTACTTGTGGTGACTCAGTAGGGCGATCTGACTAACAACAGTGTCACACGCACACACACACACACGCACACACACACGCACACACACACACACTTGCAAAATGATACAAAGAAACAGTCGGCAAACATCTTGTCAATTTGGGTAACGGGACTCATTTATTCACTCACAGATGACAAAGTTTAAAATTCAGTATTAAAAAAATGAATATATATATATATATATAATTACACACATAATCGATTAATGTTATTAAATATTGTAAATAGAATTAAAACGTCACTCTTTCAATCCGTCATAGAGATTTATTTATTAAAACTAAACTACTTCAATTCATTCAGGTTCCAAACTTTTAGAATACATTTATTAAGCAGTAAGATTGAATTTGATGCCATAAAAAGTTAACGATTATTTCTATTATTGCTTTTTATTAACTACATTTCTCACTTTTCGTCTTTCTTTCTCACACCAACAACTCCTCAGAGTCTTTTATTTGCATCCACTCAGCATTTATCAGATTTTTTGATTAGAGACGAGGTGAAGTTTCCCAGGCAGCACCGACATGTTTCCTCCCTCCTTGCCCCCCTCCCTGTATCTCCCAGGGGTTGAAGACGGAGGAAGGAAATGCTGTCTGTGTCTGAATGAAGCTAAAATTGGAAGCAGAGTGGCGCGGCAGCGGAACCGGCAAATCATCCCGACTACCGGCGCGTGCGTTCTTGTGTGCGTGTTGGGAATGGACTGAGGGGTGGGGGGAGAGATGAGGAAGGGAGCGTCAAACTTTTCCATTTGGGGGGCCATGGCAGCGCAAACAAAACTTCAAACATGATCCCACCCAAGACTATCCCACACACACACAAACACGCTGCCTGTCCCACACAGATGAGTGTAAGGCAGCAAATCCTCTGTGAGTTCTGCACAGTTTGCTAAAACACAAGCAATTATCTCACATCCAACTGGTTTCTCCAAATTAAATCTGATGAAGAGTAATTTAAATAAATGTAGACGTCCCAGATCCACTCAAGGCCAAAATCATCCTAAAGGAAAAAAACTTCCCTTATTACAGATTTGAAGGCAAAACAGTCTTTAAAACTTAAAAAAAAAGTTGATCTAAAGCTTTAAAACAGCTGTAAATTGATACAGCCAATTATTAAAATTGCATTCAAATCAGAAAAAAAATCAGATATTTGACTTGTAAAACGTATTAAATTTCCAGAGTCATCATTTGTCCGTTTTTTTTAATACAGCAACAGGTTTTTGCTCCTTTTGCCATTTAAATGAAGCAAAAATGATTTTTTCTTCTCCTCAGTGTTTTTGCTTTCAGCAAAACTCTGAATCGTCGTTTTGCATAACAGCTGCAGGGTCGAAAACTAAGAGTGAAACCAAGAATCAAGCAACAATTCATCTGCTGTGCTTTCGACCAACTGAAAACATAAAAGCTGAGTAAGAAGGAATTCAGTGAACTTTAAAGAAGCTGAGAAAGAGTCCCAATAAATCAGGGAAAAGCTAAAAAAAACACGTTTTCTCCATTAAAATCTACGTTAAAAGACTAAAATTACTGAAATGTGAAGAAACAATTGAGAAAATTATTGTAAAACAAACCGAGTTAAAATATCATTTCCAATAATCTCACGAACTGAGCCATAAAAACTCAAATATTTTCATA